CTTACCCTACACTGGTAAAGAGATTAGGGAATGGTGTACCCTACGTCCTAAAAATCAATCATCAACTAGGGAGAGGTGTACCCTATGTTGAAAAACACAGTTAGGGATTGTTGTACCCTACACTGGTAAAGAGACTAGGAAATGGTGCACCCTATATTAGCAAAGATATCAGGGAGTGGTGTACCCTGCATTTAAGACCAATCAACTAGGGAGTGTTGTACCTTACGTTGAAAACACGGTTAGGTATTGATGTACCCTATAACGGTGAAGAGACTAAGGAGTAGGGTACCCTATATTAGCAATGAAATCAGAGAGTGGTGTACCCTGCATTTAAGATTAATCAACTAGGGAGTGGTGTAACCTATGTTGGAAACACAACTAGGGATTGGTGTACCCTATACTGGTAAGGAGACTAGGGAGTGGTGTACCCTATTTTAGGAATGAGATCAGGGAGTGGTACCCTGCATTTAAGATCATCAACTAGGGAGTGGTGTACCCTATGTTAGAAGACACATCTAGGGATTGGTGAACCCTTTACTAGTAAGTAAACTAGGGAGTGGTGTACCCTATTTTAGCTATGAGATCAAGGAGTGGTGTACCCTGCATTTAAGATCCTCAATTAGGGAGTGGTGTACCCTATGTTGGAAGACACAGCTAGGGATTGGTGAATCCTATACTGGTAAGGAGACTAGAGAGGGTGTACCCTATTTTAGCAATGAGATCAGGGAGTGGTGTACCCTGTATTTAAGATCATCAACTAGGGAGTGGTGTACCCGATGTTAGAAGACACAACTAGGGATTGGTGTACGACTGTACCCTATACTAGTAGGAGAATAGGGAGTGGTGTACCCTATTTTAGCAATGAGATCAGGGAATGGTGTACCCTTGATTTAAGATCATCAATTGGGGAGTGGTGTACCCTATGTTGGAAGACACAACTAGGGAGTGGTGTATCCTATACTGGTAAGGAGAATAGGAAATGGTGTACCCAATTTTAGCAATGAGATCAGGGAATGGTGTACCCTGGATTTAAGATCATCAACTAGGGAGTGGTGTACCCTACGTTTAAAAACACAGCTAGGGATTGGTGTAACCTATACTAGTAAGGAGACTAGGGAGTGGTGTACCCTATTTTAGCAATGAGATCAAGGAGTAGTGTACCCTGTATTTAAGATCATCAACTAGTGATTGGTGTACCCTACATTGGAAAACACAACTAGGGACTGGTATACCCTATACTAGTAAGAAGACTATGGAGTGATGTACCCTACGTCCTAAAAATTAATCATCAACTAGGGAGTGGTGTACCCTCTATTGGAAAATATAGCTAGGGATTAGTGTGCCCTACCGTAGCATTATTTTGAATGTATTTAAAGATTTAAGCAAAATGCGGGAAAGAATTTTTAGAAAACTTCCTTTTTTGAGAGTTTTTGTGTTACGGAGTTGTTTTCAATCTCTACATGATTTCTCTTTTTACTTGCACCTGTTTTCTGTTTTCAACGAAGAATAATTGTTAGTTCGAAACTGTGGTTGATTTTGTAGCCTTGAGTGTTTCAATCACTTGATCTCGGCCCATATTCTTTTGGTGATGATTTCAACACCAACTGGTTGTTTTCTAAATACCAATTGCATTTCTACCGCCGGAGAACCTTTGACTTTTCAAACTTTGCCATGACGGTTGGTCGTGTGGGACTTAACCTTTTCAACACTTTCTTGCAAAGTTTCAATCTGAGAGCATTAGAGAGCCCTTGGTTTTCAAACTTTCCCATGACTGTTAGTCACATGATACTTAACCTTTTCAACTTCATTTCGCCTTTGCAAGCCCTTCAATTTGATTTCCTTCTTCCAAAGTTTTCAATTTCAAATCATTGGACAATCATGGCCAATCGGGGTCACCGCGATGCCCTTGCCAAGGATGGGTACCATTTGAATATATCAGCTCGCTTCAAATGGGAGCCCTTATCACGACCCCAATTCCCCACCTTAGGATGTTGTGATGGCACCTAGTCTCCAAGACTAGGTAAGCCTAACACATGCTGATTTAATAACATCATTGAACTATTTAATCATTTATCATAAATCATTAAATGAAATATATAGCCGCAAGCGGCGAAACATTTCCCAAAACCGGTAGTACGGAGTCATAAACACTACTGAAACACAATAGCATTTCTAAACACAATATTGTTATGAATTACAATTTAACAGTAGCATAATAAAGTAAGATGGTGACTCCGAGGCCTGCAAACGTCAAGTAGGTATACCTTGAAGTCTCCCATCGCGCAGATGCAACTCTCAACAAACACAATTAGAATGCCTGGATCAGTGATATTTAGCTTAAAGTATATATATATATATATATATATATATTTATATGTATGTTCCCTTGCATTTTACTCGTGTTTCGTGGATTTCGGAAGTGAAATGTAATGACTTATGCTGATTCGTGGTATTTTTATGTGTAGGAATCATCCGGAAGCAATATGGGCCAAAAGGTGCAAGATTTGCGCCAAAAAGGAGCGAAACGGGAAAATAGCAATTTGTAGTGCCACAGGGCGTGGGGCGCTACCTATGGCCGAGTTTCCAAAACCTCAATTTTTCCAGCGCCAGGGATAGCGCCCCACGCTACCCAGGGTGCTGGTGACGGGAAGTCTCTCCTATTTAGCCCGTATCAAGGGTATTTCAGCCCAACCCCCCCCCCCCCTCCCCCAACGTGGGTAAAATCAATTCTAAAACCTATTTTGAGGGAGGGCAGCCATTTTGGAAGAGTTAACACACTGGGAAAATGAGGAGAGCCATCATAGAGCTTGGAAACCACGGAATTCATCTTGAGTTCTTCCTTTCCCTTCTTTTCTTGATTTTTATGCATTCTTGGGAATTGATTGAGATTTCTACTATGACTATGTGTGGCTAAACTCTTTTATTCTGGGGTTATGGTTTTACATGAATGTTGATATTCGAATATTGATTTGACGAGTTAATTTATCATATTGGGTTGTTTATTCATATCCTGAGTTTAATTATTTTACTTCTTAGCTAACAGTGAAATACAATATATGAATCGTGAGTTGAACTTGAAAGAGGTAATTCTTGATTGCAATAGGATTGAATAAAGCACGATGTTGGACCTAGTTATTGGGGAATTGATTTGCGAATACAGATAGAAATATACCTATTTGCCGTGCTTAGCCAATTTTGCAAGAGATTATTAATGCATTTTTTTATCTCTAATCTCATAGGAATATAGGGGTTAGAGTAAATTGAATAGGCGAGTAGAAGTTGTCGAATTTCTACGAGTATTATTGTCCTAGCAGGTTAATAACCCATACAAATTAATAAGTCGAATCGATTGAAGAATTCAACAGGAGTGTTAGCCAGTCATAACCCTGGAATATTATTCTCATTGAATTCAACTTTCCGTGCTAAGTGTGCTAGTTAACTCTTTCTTCTTTTTAATCGCATATTCAGTTAGTAGAATTAATCAAACAAAAATCAACTTGAAATTGTTCTTGACTCGATAAATTAGCATTTTCTTGATTTAGTTGGCAATTGATTACAAGTCCTCGTGGGAACGATACTCTACTCACTCTTTATTACTTGATTGACCGTGTATACTTGCGTGTGTGATTTTGGGCAACAAGTTTTTGGCGCCCTTGATGGGGACTTAGAAATTAATTTTTTTACTGGATTATGCTTTTACTACTCATCGAGTTAAGTTTTTTATCTTCTTTTTGGTTGGGTGTTTGATATCAGGTACTTTGCTTGAATGCGACGGGTTAGAAGCCAAGATAGACTACAGAATTTTAGCCTAGAACCTGAGAGAGCATTTCGCAGAAGATTGAGAGAATCTCGGAAAGCAAATAATTTACAAGCACTCATTCAACTTCCTATTGAAATGGCGGATGAACACCCATTGGCGGTACAAGAGGTGGCTATGCCCAGCATTGCTAATGTCATGTCCAAAATCGTTAAGCCGGGGATCAATGGGCATTTTGAGCTTAATCAGAGCATGATCTAGCTACTTCATGCAAATGAACAGTTCATGGGACTACCACACAAGGACCCCCAATAACATATTCTGAATTTTCTAGTGATTAGTAATACTTATATCACTAACGGGGTCACATCTGATTATGTTAGGCTCATATTGTTACCTTTTTCTCTATTGGGAGAGTCCAAGCAATGGTTGAAATCTGAGCCAGCTAACTCTATTGCATCATGGAATGATGTGGCTCGCAAATTCTTGGCTAGGTTCTTTCCTTCTGGTAACGGCAAAGATAAGAAGTGAGATAGTCGCATTCAAATAGAGAAAAGGTGAATCACTTTATGCAGCCTGGGAGCGATTCAAGGGGCTACTAAGAGACTGTCCGCACCACAACCAAACCAACAAAGCACTGGCTCACACTTTTATTGAAGGTCTTTACCCTGAAACAAATATAGTGGCAGACGCAACAACTGGTGGTCAAGTATTGGAAAAGAGCTTTGATTAGGTTTATACACTGCTGAACAAGTTTTCCAAAAGCAACCCAGATTGGCAAGGGGAAGTAGGTAGACACACAACCCATAAAGCTGACGAGGTACTTGAATTGGATGTTGTATCAGCACTATCTGCATAGGTAGAATCTTTTGTAAATCAAATCACTAGGATGAATATGGATCAAAACCAACAACAAGTCCAACCAATGCAACAGGTTCAACCAGTGTAGCAGGTGCAGGTGTTATGCGAAGTCTACGGCGAGGGGCATACCAATGATGCTTGTCCAGTGAATCTAGAGTCAATTTACTTTGTGGGGAATGCTAATAGGGTCCAAGCTAATCAGAATCAATATGGTAGCACTTACAATAATAACTGGAGGAACCACCCAAACTTCTATTGGGGTGGAACCCAAGGTACTCAGAATCCATGCAGGCCACAAGCTCCTCAACAACAATAAATAGAACCACAAGCTGAGCAACCTACAAACTCAACGAGTCACGTCGAGGAGATTCTAAAAAAATTGATGGCTAACCAGCAGGCTCAAGCAGCAGCCCACTCAGCAGCTATTCGAAATTTGGAGCAACAGATGGGGCAACTTGCTAGTGCCCATAACACCAACCTAGCGACACTGAGGCTTATTCTAAGGTTCCTATTAATGTTGTGTCATTGAGGAATGGAAGAGAATTAGAAGAAGTCCCATCTAAGAATAAAAAGCAAGTGACGTTTACTGAAAAACAACCCACCACAGAAGTCAAATCGGAAACTGCAAAAGAGTCGGAGAAGCCAATTGAAAAGGCTGTGGCAAAGCAACCACAACCAATAATTGTGAAGCCACCACCTCCGTTCCCTCAGAGATTGCAGAAGGTGAAGGATAATGCGGCCTACAAAAAGTTTCTTGATATTTTGAAGCAGGTGCAAATCAATACTCCCCTAGTAGACATCCTGTAAGAAGTGCCCAGATATGCCAAATACATCAAGGACATAGTGGCAAATAAATGGAGCTTGACAGAGTTCGAGACTGTGGCACTCACTGATGAATGTAGCTCAAGAATTCAAAGCAAGTTACCTCAGAAATTGAAGGATCGGGGTAGTTTCACTATCAAAATATCGATTGGTAAGCACGCAGTCGAGCGAGCTTTGTGTGATCCTGGGGCGACCATCAATTTGATGCTGCTATCTGAGTTCAAACAATTCGGGTTGGGTGAGTCGCGCCCAACCACGGTGATTTTACAGTTGGCTGATCACTCCCTTGCTCATCCTGAAGGTGTAATTGAAGATGTGTTAACTTAAGTGGGTTCTTTTATATTCCCTGCTGATTTTATTATCTTGGAATATGAACCTGATTAGGAAGTCTCATTTATTTTACGGCGTCCATTCTTAGCCATGGACCGAGCTATTATTGATGTATGCAAAGGAAAGATGACGATGAGAATGGGTGATCAAGTGGAGGTATTCACTATGAAGAGATATCCATGATTTCTGTGGTGGAAAGATGTGACGCCATTGGTGCCTTATATGAGCCCCGTAGATCCTCTTGAACGAGCCTCGATTGGGGATGAAAAAGACAGTGAAGATGAGTTGATGGAAGAAATTGAGCAAGTACTTAACATGTCTTGCAATTATGTCCAAGGGTTTGGGAGATTTGAGGAGTTGGACAGGCCTGCGACTCTAACCCCTCCTAAGCCATCTATTGAAGAAGCTCCTAAGCTAGAGCTTAAGCCCTTTATAGCGTATCTGCGCTATGATTATTTGGGAAACTCTGAGACATTTCTAGCGATTATCTCATCCATCATGACCGAGGTGCAAGAAGAAAAATTTCTCAGAGTGTTTCGTGATCATAAAAAGGCTATTGGGTGGACAATTGCTAAATCAAAGGAATCAGTCTATCATTTTGCATGCGTAAAATCTTTCTGGAAGATAGATATCACCCGAATGTTGAGCAACAAAGGAGATTAAATCCCATTATGAAAGAGGTTGTGAAGAAGGAAGTAATTAAGTGGCTTGATGCAGGTATCATATTCCTTATCTCTGATAGCAACTGGGTAAGCCCAGTACAATGTGTGCCTAAAAAGGGGGGATGACAGTTGTAGAGAATGAGAAAAATGAGCTAACTCCTACTCGCACTGTGACAGGGTGGAGAGTTTGCATTGACTACAGAAAGCTCAACAAAGCAACCCGCAAGGACCACTTCCCACTTCCATTCATTGACCAAATGTTGGACAGATTGGCGGGGCATGAATTTTATTGTTTCCTTGATGGTTATTCGGGGTACAGCCAGATTGTCATCTGCCTAAAGGATCAAGATAAGATCACTTTTACATGTACTTATGGTACTTTCGCTTTCAAGCGAATGTCGTTTAGTCTTTGTAATGCGCCAGCCACTTTCCAGAGGTGCATGATGGCTATTTTCATTAATATGGTGGAAAAATTTGTTGAAGTCTTCATGGATGATTTTTCAATCTTTGGGTCTTCTTATGATGATTGTTTGAAGAATTTGAGCAAGGTGCTAGCCCGCTGTAAAGAAACAAATTTGGTGTTAAATTAGGGAAAATGTCATTTTATGGTACAAGAAGGCATCGTGTTGGGCCATAGAGTGTCAAGGAGCAGCATCGAAGTTGATAAGGCGAAGGTGGAGGCGGTTGAAAAATTACCTCCACCCATTTCCGTGAGTCCGGAGTTTCTTGGGACATGTAGGTGTTTATAGATGATTCATTAAAGATTTCTCAAAAATTGTTAATCCCTTGTGCAGGATGCTAGAAAAGGATGCCGCATTTAAGTTTAATGATGCCTGTGTAAATGCATTCGAGGAACTAAAGTTGAAGTTGCTGTCTGTGCCAGTCATTATTGCACCTAATTGGAGTCTGCCCTTTGAGTTGATGTGTGATGCGAGTGACGTAGCAATTGGGGTTGTGCTTGGACAGGGGAAGAACAAAGTGTTTCACTCAATCTATTATGCCAGCAAGAACCTAACTAATGCACAACTCAATTACACCACGACGGAAAAAGAATTGTTGGCAGTTGTCTATGTTTTTGACAAGTTCCGGTCCTACTTAGTAGGAACGCATGTGATCGTGTACACGGATCATGTGGCGATTAGGTATTTAATCTCAAAAAAGATGCTAAACTGAGACTGATTAGATGAGTACTTCTTTTGCAGGAATTTGACTTGGAAATCCATGATTGGAAGGGCACAGAGAATCAGGTGGCTGACCACTTATCAAGGCTAGAAAATCACGAGCATGTGGAAAAATGAGGGGGATCTAGGAGACGTTCCCATATGAGCTACTCTTTGCAGTCACACATGATCTGCCACCAAGGTATGCGGATTATGTAAATTTCATATGAGCGGAGTACTTCCTTTAGAAATGCCACTTGAAGGGAGGAAGCGATTCCTACATGACATAAACTACTATTTCTGGGATGAGTCGTTCTTGTACCGGCAATGTGCTGACCAACTGATGAGGAGATGTATTCCGGAGAAGGGAGTGGAGCAGGTTTTGTACGATTGTCACTCCTCACCTTTTGGGGGACATCATGGTGGTGATATAACATCTGCAAAAGTTCTCCAGTCGGGATTTTATTGGCCGACTCTGTTTAAAGATGCCCATTTATTTGTAAAGAAGTGTGATCGGTGTTAGAGAACTGGAACAATCACTAGAAAAAATGAGATGCCGCTTAAAAACATTCTTGAGGTGGAGATTTTCTATGTTTGGGGGATCGATTTATGGGACCATTCACATCATCTAGAGGGAACAAATACATCTTGTTAGCAGTGGACTACGTTTCTAAGTGGGAGGAGGACATTGCTTTACATACTAATGATGCGAAGGTGTTGACTAAATTAGTCAAGAAGAATATTTTTACAACGTTTCGGGACTCCTCGAGCTCCAATAAGTGATGAAGGTACGCATTTTTGCAATAGACTTTTGAATAACCTACTAGCTAAATACGGGTCAAGCACAAAGTTGCCACCGCATATCACCCTCAAACGAGTAGGCAAGCAGAGGTATCGAATAGAGAAATAAAGCAAATTTTGGAGAAAATGATCAGTGCAAATAGGAAGACTAACAAGGTTGGATGACGCTCTATGGGCGTATATGACTGCATACAAGACACCTATTGGTACCTCGCCTTACAAGTTGATCTATGGCAAAGCATGTCACCTTCTGGTTGAGCTAGAACACAAGGCCTTTTGGGCCGTCAAAAAGCTCAATATTGATATGGAGTTGGCGGGTGAGAAGAGATTGCTCCAACTCAATGAGCTAGATGAATTCAGGCTAAATGCATATGAGAATGCCAAGCTATATAAATAAAAGACCAAAAGGTGGCATGCCAGCACATCAAGCTTCGCCATTTCGAGTCGGACCAGTTGGTATTGCTGTTCAATTCCAGGTTGAAGTTGTTTCCTGGAAAATTAAAGTCGAGATGGTCTGGACCTTTTGAAATAGTGCGAGTGACACCATACGGGGCTATAGAGTTAAGAGCGCCAAATTCCGAGAGGACATTCTTGGTCAATGGGCAAAGAATCAAGCGTTATTGGGGTGGTGACGTGGATCGTCACAAGTCCTCAATTGCACTGAAGGATTCTTGAGGAGTGGTATCATCGTGCTGCGATGTTAAATCAAGCGTTTCTTGGAAGGCAACCCAAGCATTTTATTTTGCTTCCATAGTTACTAACATTTCCCTTTCGTTTATGTATTTTTGAACTTTTTTTTGGATTTCCTAAATTTTTTTATCTGGTAGGTGTAACTTTTGTTGTATTTATAGTTTTGTTTTTGTTTGCTGATTAGGGGAAGTCTGAGTACCCGAAGTTGAAGTTGAGGAGCATGTTTGAGCTTAAGTGTGGGGTCATCCCGACCCTAAATATTAAGGATCATGTTGCTAGCTAGGCCCTAGAGGGTCTCAGAGAGTATTTCTCATCCTTTTTTTTAATATTTTTCTTCGTGATCATGCATCGAGGACTATGAATAATACAAGTGTGGGGGGTAGGATAATTACTTTCTGAGTGGATTCATGTAAAAAAAAATCAGAAAATAGTGGACTTTTCCCGACGACGGACTACCTGGACAGTTCTCTCGAGGGATTAAGGTCCAATAAAAAAAAATTAAAAAAATATTTGAAAAACAGAAAAAAAAATCCAAAAACCTGTCTTTTATTTTCCTTTAGGTAATAATGATTCCCCATGGTTTTTCTTTGTGCATCGGTTCTTTTCCATGAGGTGTAGTTTGAACTGGATAGTAGTTTTTTTTAGAGTAGATTAGGAAATTAGGAAATAAAAGGAGGAAGATTGATAAACTTAGGCTCCTTTGACTTATTTAATAGTAGCATATTTAGGCTTTGGCATGTGGAGTATCTTCCCTATGTGTTGAAATTATTCATGATGCCTTGATGAAATTGGATAGCTTGTTATGACGCCTATGTCTCTTTTGCTTGACTATTATTCACTTTGTGCTTAATGCTTAATATCTTGTGGCTCTGTGAATACTTGCATTATTTGAGAGTAGGAATGAGATCATCCTTAGTGAGTCATGTTCCATGTGGGAAGTGAGATTTTGTATAGTCCATGTTATCGTGATTGAGTTTAGAACTTGCCCGGTATATGAGTCGAAGTGAATTTTTTTTGTGATGCTCGGTTTGAAAAATGATTTAAAGCATTCTTTGATCTTTTGAGCTTAATTGCTTATCACAAATAAATTCTATCCCTAGTAAACACGTTTGAGCCTATAGACTTTCAATCGGCACCCACGTTACGAGTCTATACCCTTTTGTTCTTAATTGACAGTATTTTGATCCTGTTACCTCTAAAAGCACTTTAATTATGAAATGAGCGCTAGAAGAAGTAAGGACTAAGTGTGGGGTGACTTTCGAGTGGAACCAGTGAAAGAAAGACAGAAAGGTGCACTTGTTTTGTAGAATAATACACCACTAGCGAAACTGGAAAAAAAAGATAGAGATGAATAAATTGTTGTTTTGTTCTTGCTAGTGGGGTATAAATTAAAGTAGTGCTTAAAGAAAGAGGGAATAGTTTTGGGGAGTGATCATGTTTTTGAAATTGAAGCGGATTGAAGAATTTTGCTTAAAGTTTATCATGTGATGTGTTAAAGTGCTTAGAAGGGTGAACCACTAATCCTAAATATATGCTACCCCTCCCTTAGCCCACATTACAACCATATAAAGTCCTAATTGATTTTAGATCGAGTGAGCCTACATTAGTAGAGATTCACATTATGGGCAAGCCTATGGTACCTTTTGCATGCATGTGACTTCTTTGTGAGAGTGAGAGATTTTCTTTCATAGATGTGAGTCCTTAAATTATATTTGATCATGAGATTCGAATGTGTGAATTCAACTTACTCTCTTGTTCTTGTTGTGAGGGCACATGGTTTCACGAGGGATAGGTAATTAGAATTCTTTGTGATGTTGGGTGTTCAAGCCATGCGTGCATTGTGATATTGAGTCGATTTTTGAAGCTAGGATTGTTATGAGCACGTTGTCTTTGTTGTGAATATTTTTAAAGAATAGCATAAGTAAAGGGAAGTGTTAGTGATTGCATATGCTACAGTTTAATTGTTGCTATCAACCATGGTCATTGGTAGAGTGTATGTTTAAGAAATTTTTTTTGAATTGCTCCCCCATGTTGATATGTACGTTGTTGGAGTGTAGTTGATGGTCCCATTGCTCGAGGATGAGCAAGAGTCTAAGTGTGGGGTGTTGATATTTAGCTTAAAGTATATATATTTATATGTATATCGCCTCGCATTTTACTCGTGTTTCGTGGATTTCGGAAAACGTAATGATTTATGCTAATTCGTCGTGTTGTAATGTGAAGGAATCATCTGGAAGCAATATGGGCCGAAAGGTGTGAGATTTGAGCCAAAAAGGAGCAAAATGGGAAAATAGCCATTTGTAGTGCCACAGGTAGCGTGGGGCGCTACCTGTGGCCCATTTTCCAGAACCTCAATTTTCCCAGCACCAGGGATAGCTCCCCACGCTACCCAGGGCGCTAGTGACGGGAAGTCTCTCCTATTTCGCCCGGGTCAAGGGTATTTCGGCCCAACCAACCCCCCCCCCCCGGATAAAAGCAATTCTAAAACCTATTTTGAGAGAGGGCCACCATTTTGGAAGAGCTAACACACCGGGAAAAAGAGGAGAGCCATCACAGAGCTTGGAAACCACGGAATTCATCTTGAGTTCTTCCTTTCCTTTCTTTTATTGATTTTTATGTATTCTTGGGAATTGATTGAGATTTCTACTATGACTATGTGTGGCTAAACTCTTTTATTCTGGGGTTATGGTTTTACATGAATGTTGATATTCGAATATTGATTTGACGAGTTAATTTATCATATTGGGTTGTTTATTCATATCCTGAGTTTAATTATTTTACTGCCTAGCTTACAGTGAAATACTATATATGAATCTTGAGTTGAACTTGAAAGAGGTAATTCTTGATTGAAATAGGATTGAATAAAGCGCGATCTTGAACCTAGTCATTGGGGAATTGATTTGTGAATACGGATAGAAATATACCTATTTGCCGTACTTAGCCAATTTTGCAAGAGATTATTAATGCGTTCTTTTTATCTCTAATCTCATAGGAATATAGGGGTTAGAATAAATTGAATAGGCGAGTAGAAGTTTTCAAATTTCTACGAGTATTATTGTCCTTGCAGGTTAATAACCCAGATAAATTAATAAGTCGAGTCGATTGAAGAATTCAACAGGAGTGTTAGCCAGCCATAACCCTGGAATATTATTCTCATTGAATTCAACTCTTCATGCTAAGTGTGCTAGTTAACTCTTTCTTCTTTTTAATCGCATATTTAGTTAGTTGAATTAATCAAACAAAAATCAACTTGAAATTGTTCTTGACTCGATAAATTAGCATTTGCTTGATTTAGTTGGCAATTGATTACAATTCCTCGTGGGAACGATACTCTACTCACTCTTTTACTTGATTGACCACATATACTTGCGTCTGCGATTTTGGGAAAATTCTGCACAAAAATGTGCAGAAGCGTAGCATGGGTACACCACAATGGTACCCAGTAAGTATCAAGCCTAACCTCGGTAGAGTAGTGACGAGGCCAGGTCAAGACACCTACTAGAGATAGAAACCTGTTCAAGATATACATAATCTAATAATGGAAAGAACATCAATGTAAGACCAACAACGGAAAAATTATTGATTTACAACCAACAATGAAGTAATAGAAACATAAGTGGCAGCAAGTAGTAAACGAGTAATAATGAAACAACATAATCAGAACACCGATGAGATGTAAATGAACTCAAATAAGGAAAAACGGATGGCAACTCAAATAATCAAATCACTCTGAACGCATGGACTTACAATAAGAATTACCCCGAGGCACCACACCTCTTAAACTACAAATCATGGACCACAATTTTTAAATCTTACACATATGGCACCTCGTGCCCACAATATCAATCACCTTCGCACGGCAAAGCCCATGTGCTACTATGTTCTTTGCAACCATGATAAATATTAATTTAGATGAACGAAAGATATATTTAAACACCATAAAATATAATAACAATCTTGAATAAAGTAAGGCGTCAAATGATATAATGACTTTATTTTAGAAATCAAGTAAAGTAAACGTAAGGCCACATAAAATTTCACCTAAAACCCGGAATTTCGTGGTGCCAAGTTAGGCTTATGTATTAAAGATTGTAGAGATTCTTCACGGCTTTGGATTGAACAGTGCGCTGGGGAGTTGAAGGAATATATTTGCAGAGTTAGGCATTTTCGTGGCTCATTATGCGGCCGCATAATCACTCTGCAGGCCGCAGAATGGCCGCAGAGTGAGGCAATCTTTTAAGCCATTTTAGATGTTATTTTTGCGGCCCATTATGCGACTGCAGAACTATTTTGCGGGCTGCACTTTGATCGCATATCCAGCCTCGAGATTTTTTAGATGGTGGTTCTAAGGCGCATTATGCAACCGCATAACAGTCTGCAGACTGCAGGCTGGTCGCAGATCGAAGCAAAAAATATTAGTTCCGGAGGGCCAACTATGAGGCCCACTTTGCGGACGCAGAAGCATTACGCGGTCGCACATGCGACCACAAATCTATGTCGGGGCTCCTATTTTTCTAATCTTACAACCCGACCCAATCTCTTTATTTAAGTGTTGTGGACCATTTTCTTTCAAAAATCTGATACTGTTGAGAGAGAGAGAGTGCCTTAGAGAGAGGGAGGGTTCCCCAACCATTTGTTCTACAATTCTTGCTCCAACATTGAAGATTAACAAGGGAAAATTCACTAGGTCTTCATCCTAAAAAGGTAAGATTCTATCACCCTAACTCTTGATTTTGAAGTTTAACTAGAATGGGCAATTAATAAGATAATTCATGGGTATAGGAGTTGTTCATCTTGCATACATGTGTGATAAAAGCATGTAGGGAGATTGTGAGCTAAAAATGGTGATGAATGGGTTGTGGGATGATGAAACCTTCCATAAAAAGGACCTTGAAACCCTAATACACACTTAGTGGTTGATAAAATGCTCAAATGAGCTAGAACCACGATCATTTTCCTAATTTTTGGTTCAGTTTGTTATATTG